CGTTTACAAAGAATACAATACGCTGACAAAACATCAATCATTTTATAATATTTGAACGCCCAGTTATAACCAATGTCAGTTACAATTTGTCTATCGTCTGCGCATAGCCGATGATTAGAGGCATCGTCGTAGGAAAAAAGCTTCTCACATACAACACATTCTACATAGGTTGAATCGTCAATTTTTCTGAAGTTTTCCCAAAACTTTTCTTTAAGTTCATAAACAATCTCTTCAAATTCATAAGTGACTTCATGTTCGCGTTTTATATGATCCTCAAAGTTTTCTGTGCTGACGAAGTATAAAATTTCTTCACACTCCTTACATGTTGCTTGAAAATTCGACAGTGTGTAATTACTATTCACCCAATTCGAAGCAGTTGAAAGCACAGGTTGATTGACTACGTCCATTCCGCGAGACATATTGCGTGTGACTGAACGCGATACTATCTTCTCGAACAGGGTTTCATAGAAGAGGTCGAAAGAACTAAGAGGTAGCATTTCCCTTCCATTTGTACATAAACATCGATAGATTGTTCTGACTTACCGAACTGTTGTTAAGAATTTGAATTTTTTACAAATATGTAATATTATAACAATTCTACGACTGAGCAAAAAAGATTTTACACAACATTTTTTGCGTGAATAAACAAGTTTTTCTTTGAAATAATGCAAAAATAATTATTTATGTTTTTCAAATAAAACTGTTCTGTGTGTCATAATAACCATATTAAAGGAAATTACGCTCACTGTTTCGAATTTATTGGTTCTACAAAAAACGCAATTAATACACTCATCGAAGAAGGATAAATATGCGCGCGCTAGCATTTCTGTACCAGACGCGCACGTATTTAGATATGTTACTGTCGCCGTCGTATTGTGAAGACGTTCGATTTGTATTTCATATGAAATCACGATGTTTTTAATTTCAATAGCTTCAATTTTGAGCTTTATTAATTTATATAGTTAAACACCCGTAATATAATGAAACAAATATTCTTCGGATCTGCTAGAACATGCGTTAATACTTAACGTACCGCGTGCAAAAATAATTTCCTCATTACATTATTAATATTGGATATATGTACAGAGAAGAATAAAAAAGTAAAAAATAGAAATTTCTACTGTTAGCAAAAAATAAAGTAATAATAGTCTCGAATTGAAATGTTCCTTGTCAAGTAGATTCACATTGCACTGTATATATAATTCTTCAAAGTTAAATTATTTACGCCATTCTTTATGTATCATTTTAGCTCACTGTATTTTATCGAAGTAACAAAAAAATATTTAAAAATAAAGAAAAGAAAAATACATAGTTGTTTTTTAAACTAGCGTTTTAATGATTTTATACATTTAATTATCCACTTGAATTTACTACGCCTACTTATAAAACACGCTGTACTGCGCACTCTTATGTCTCGTCTCGTAAAAATCAAAGTTATTTTGTACAATTAGTTTTGACTCTTTAGCTGCAAATTAAAATGAAAACATATTCACTGCGAAGTAAATTATATTCACACAATTACGTGATAATGATCCGAAACGAGAAAAAAAAGTGAATTTTTAATATGTTTGAATTATATATTTTTAAGGCAATATTCGTGTATTTTTTGACATGCGTTTAAAATGAGGAAATTAAGAAAGGCAAAAGAACAATCTGATCACTCTTGTCAAATGCATTTGGTCTTTATGATTTTTTTATTACATGCCGAACATTCAGTCTTGAAGAAATGTTTTGAATGAAAAATCAGAAGCTAAGAAATTTACGAGATGATTTTTACAGAATAAACTCTTATACTGTAAGATCGTCTCGCCGCTACTTTGGTCGTGGTAGTAAATATCACTACGTACCGATTATTACGTTCGTTATTGTTAAATACCTAACAATCATATAAAATTCTAAATACGATAAAGTCATTATAACTTTTAGTTTATGAGCTAGTTTATGTACAAAATTAACATGCGTGACGATAGCGCGAGCTTTTCCGCGCGCACTCGACGGGGATTTTGATATTAAAAGTCCTAAATCTTTCAGCTTTCAAAATTCATCTTCCCTAAAGATGCCTTCCTAAACTCTCGAAATCTCAGAATATCATCATTGGTCCCTCGAATTCTTTATTCTTGAATTCTTAATTCAAAATATTAAGTTTGTTATTCTTGCGAAATGTCAGTTACGATATATCTTTCTCCAACGTATATTTTTCTAAGACACTGTGTGCTTCATTCGGGACTCTCGAAACAACATGTTGACTTTATTTCGTTTAAACATGATGCCGAGCATCCGTTATCAAATCTTAATTGACATTCCTCGACAAATGTCATGCCATCGAGAAATGTATCGTTGCGAAAAAAAGTTGTATGATTTAAATCAACGCTAATCTTAATATTTTTTTATATAGAATTATTTTGCAGGCAAATGACGCATTAAAAAATTTAACAAAAATTCTCGAACACATCTCTCTTAGAAGAGTCGAAAATTCAATTCGTTTCAAGTAAATTCCTTCTAATTCATCTATTCTTTTGTAACGGCAAAACAGTAAAAACCAGAAGACGCAAAATGAATAATCGTTTCAACGTCGTCGACTTGGCTCTTCAACAAACAATCTAGTTTTACAGTCGACATACTTCGCAATGGCGAATCAAGTTTCGGGACTCCAAGTTGTGCAAATTATTCTCGATATGTGGAAACGTTTCATTTTTGAAACGACATACCAAATCCATCTAAATCGCACCAAATTAAAAATTAACTATTAATTAAGAATTAAAATCAATGTCACAATTCTTGATAAATATAATATTAAGATTAGATAAAAAATGAAGATAAAAAATACAATATTGATTCCAATTTATATCACGATAATAAATTTAATTTCAGAAAAATGTAATTTTGTCTAATTTTATTTCTTTATCAGAATGTTGTCTCATTTATTCGCAGCAATTTGATTTAACTTTAGACCACCAAACAGAATTGTACAATTTACGCAAAATCTGCGCGTGCCTCTGTAAAATAGTTTCCACATATCAAGGCTCATCTGCATTCTTTTTAATTTAGATTACAGCTCACCAATCATCAATTTTTTAGATCAATTAGATCGATTAGATCAATTTTTGCTCCAGAGAAGGTTTCAGCACATTATCCATTTCCACTCGCGAATTATTGAATACCTCAACACTCGGACTATTCGTGCTGCGTGTAACACGTTTCTTCCTTGCCATGATAAAGAGCGCTTTGAGAAAACTGATGATGAAGAGGAAAAAACAGCGCACAATTGGACCTACGATCACTGCTATGTCGATGGCTTGGCTACTAAATAAGCGCTCCCGCTGGAAAATATTGATTAAGCTCATCAGTATAAAAATAAGTATTTATCAATTGTTAGTTTTAATCAATTTTATTTATAAGAAAGTAAAACTGTCGAGTAATAGAAACATAAAACGCAAAGCGTAATTAATTTTAATAAAAGCAATGGGCAATAACTGCAAAAATTTACCGGTTATAAATTGTGCTCAATTCTGACATAAATTTAAGACAGTGGTATACTGAAAACATTTTGAGTATTCTTATTAAGTTATCAGAGATATATTGTGTACATGAGCTAATTTGTTTTTTCTCATGGAATCGCTAATCTGAAAAATGTCACCGTACCTCGGTACAATTTAGTCCCGTCTATTCAGAAGTGCATTCACATTCGTATCCGCCACCTTTGGCACACCTGCAAGTGCCACCGTTCTGACAATAATTCTAATAAAGACAAAACAAGATCATCGTAAAAATGAAACACAATATCTCACAATATTATGTTCGTCTTAATTTCATTGTCATAATCTTACTGAACCCAAAGAATTTTTCCAATTTCATTCGCTCAATTCTAATCAATCTTGTTTAATGTTCTAATTCTTTATTTCCTACAAATATTCTATTCTCTAAATATTTTACTCAGTTTTACATCACAATCCTTCTAAATTCCTTTCTATTTATTAATTACTAGAGAACTTACTTCCTGGTAAAAATCCAATATGGCGCAATTGTAGCCGCAATAGCCGAAATCGCAAACGCACTCGTAACTACCAGGCAGATTTTGACACCTGCCGTGTCCACAATTTGTCTCCGAATTTTCGCATTCGTCTATGTCCTCGGTGCAATTGCCACCGGTGTATCCGGTGTTCTGGCAGTCGCATGTGAAGTTGTTCACCGCGTTGAAACACTTGCCGCCGTTCTTGCAAGGTACTTCGCCCTTGAGATCCGGCGCGCATTCATCAATGTCCGTCTCGCAGTACAGACCGGTGTAACCAGGAGCGCAAGTGCATCTCGGTTGCTACGTGATAATAATTCCATAATATATAAAACTTTTGTTAATAATTAAATTTAAGAAAGTATTTAGACTCCAGAATCTAAAATGACAACCTCAAAATCAACCGATTCCCTAAGCTTGAGATTTAAACTTGACAACATGAATAATATTTCATCATATTAAACTAAACTTTCTTAAGTTTAGAAAAAAATCAAATTATGCAATAATAACAAAAAGCAGCAGCGATTTAAACTTCAGCAATTATAAATCCTAGAGTCTTGGAAATTATAGTTTCATTATATATTCATAATTCGTTTGCAAAAACTCGCATCTTCCGTTCTGGCATCTCTGACCAGGCAGAGTACAATAAGGCGAGTTACAAACTGGACCGTCGTAACCGGGTCGGCAGTTGCAGGTGAAGTTATCGCCTGTCTTCGGGTTCGGCGAGTCGAGGCAAGTCGCGCCGCGCATGCATGGATTGTTCTCGCATGTGATCAGTCGAAATTTTTCGCACAAATCACCCGTAAACTGATCCGGGCACTCGCAGCGGAATGAGCCCGGCACATTAACGCACACGCCGTCGTGTTTGCAGGAATTCAGCACTCGTTGATATCGTTGTCACATCTACAACAAAAGATAAAAATTGAAAAGAAAGTGTTGCAATCACTTCGTGATCGTTAGAGAATGTAGTTTCAATCTTGTATGTTTATGGCATATATTCAACATTATGATTGCAATGTCTAAAATAAATTCTTTAACATAATAAATCGATTGGATATTTCAAAAACTTTACTGTAGCCCAATAAAATTTGGTTCACGTCAGTAATTAATTTATGACATCTAATATGTAAAAAGTAAGATTATTTACAGCATGATTTTTTCCTAAAATTTTTAATTCTTGCGATTAAAAGTTCTTGTAGAAAACAATTCTGATTTTATAATGTAATATTTTTTTAAAATGTTTTTTTCTCGATTTTAATAATCGAGTTTAATACCAAAATCATGGTTGTCGAGTTCAGAAATTCTTGACAAAATAATGGAACGATTATACTAATTAACGTAAATACTAAATTTTAAATTTATTGCTGAAAACATCAGTGTGTGATAATATTTTTGTAAAATAATGTCAAATATCACAATCTCATTGGCATCACAAAAAATATTAATCTTTCATAAAACGTGAAATGATTTCAAGATGAGAAAATACTAACAGCCATCCTTGCCAGCCGCTGTCGCAGATGCTTTGCAACGTTGCTCAGCAACTCTAGCGGCGTAAAATTCGCATTTTGATACTTCTTCATTCGTGAAGTAGTGCAGCAGTATGCTGCCGATGCGCACTTCGCCTAGACAGCCCTTGAATGGCTCTCCTGAGAAAAGAAAGAAAAGTTATAATAATTCTTTAGTTCTAAGTAAAAAGCGCTTAAGTAAAAAAAAGATTTTACACTGAAGAAAATTGTACATAAAAAAGTAAAAAAAGAGTTCAAATTTAAGGACAAAATTTTTGAGACTTGAGAGTCTCCGGAGTAAAGATTTTATGTATTTCAAAACTACTAAAAGCCAAACAATAAAACAACTTTTGATTCCCAAGCAATTAAAATGTTTTTCAATTTTAATTCATATTTTAATTCCAACCACAGTTCAAAGTAATCATTCAAACATCATAATATTCTATTAAAATAGTAGCATCGCATTATGGAACATCTAAAAACCGTGTGTTCAAATATGATACTCACCGGACATCACACTATGCGATGGGATGGCGGTTGTCAGTCTATGTTCACTATAATCCACGCTGTTCCCCTCGATTCCGTCTCTCTTATCGTGTTTCGACCCGACAGTGACGTAAGTGTGCTTGTCGGACAAGGCACTGGACAGTCCACCGAGAGTGACTATTCCTGTTACCAGGAGATCGTGCCACAGCCGGTAGTTGAAGTTGGCGCTCGAGCGAGGCTGCTCTTCGACCGGATTCACGTAGCCGCACTCCAGAGAGTTGTTCAGCTTGATGAGCAGCAAAGTCCAAATGCCGTCGAACTGAGCTTTGTCGAAGGACACAGTGCCCTGGTCTTCCAAGTCGAGCCGCCAGGAAACGGTGATATTGTCCTTGAAAATGGACACAGTAATATGTTGATCGCCCACGTGCGACGCCATGTGAAGCAGCGTACCGCCAGTGTTGGATCTGTACGTGATCTCGATGATGTCGAAGGTCGCGTTGGCGACGCACTCGAAACAGTCGTCAAAGTTCTGGCAGCGCAAGCCTGCCGGGCAGCTGGTAGAACTCTATTTCCTGACAAATCTTGCCGGTGTAGCCGCGCGAACATTGACACCAGAAGTCGTTCCACGTTACGTGACACGTGCCGTTGTGGTTACACTGGTTACTTACGCACTTACGTCATCCGACACGATCTTTCAAGAATTTTCTCGTGGTCAAAAGAAACGTTACCGAACTGAATGAGCAAGAAAATGTCCAACGCCTAAAAAAATACAAAAGATAAAAATGTCTTGAATAAAAGTACGTTGATGAAGCATGCTGATGAAAAGGCTGAAGCAATAATTATTGACAATTTTTGCATTTTTATTCTAAAGAAAGATTTTTATGAATTAAATTAATATTTGTGGAAAAAATGTTGATCAAGATAAAAGTTAAGAACTGTTATATTTTGAAATATTAAAAAAATCAGAAGAATAATTCAAAAATTGCAAGAATCAATGTTTGAGAAACATTTTCAAAAGATAGAACTGTTTCAAGCGTTGTAGAATTTAACCATAAAAGACTTTGAAAAAAATTCCCTTCAAAAATCTAAATAAAAATCAAATAAATTCTTACTTGACATATGTTTTGATTAAGATAACATTAAAAATTAAGATGTTTTCTCAGTCAACATCGGCGGAAAAAACTCAAAGACGATTATTGTCGTGCCGTTCGATATCTTCACATCCTGGATGATGCCTTTGAAGTGAACTTGCGGCGTCTGTTTTTTCTCAAACTGCCTGCTATCGACGGCCTGGCGAATGTATCTAGACACTTGCGGTAATCCGACAAGGTAGAAAACGGTTACGTTCAAGTCTCCCGTGGCGCTGATCGTCTTGCGGAAGTGCTCGGTGCCGTTGATCTTCACTTCTAGGAGAGTAACGTTTCTTGTCACTTGAATGAGGTGTTTGTTTTCGTCGTTGAGCCTCGCGCCGTCGATCGTGTAACCGTCAGTGATGTCAAACTGGAAACTCACGCGCAAGTTTCCGTCCTTCAGTTGCGCTCTTATGC